CTTCCTTCACCCAGTTCAAGCCCAGCCAAAATGTCACTTCCTCTGGTGGGAGACCCAGACCTCAAGTCTGGATCGGGTGCTCTCCTGTGAGCTCCAGCAGAGCTCTGTGCTTCTCACACCCCAGGACAGATTGGTCTCTTTCACTACAGTTCAGACGCCATGAGGACAGGGATGGGTGTCTTTTTCTAGTAAGTCCAAGCACACTGCACAGTGCTGGAGAACCAAAGAAGGAGCAAATGAATGGGTATCCATGAGTGTTCTTTGCTAAATGATGATTTCTCTTTTGGCAAGATGAACTGTTTGCTCTGTGTTTAGTGTCAGGAAACAAAAGAAAATCTCCATAAATGTCTGGACTTTGTCATACTAGAGGGAGGACCTGAGTTGTTGTAAATCCCTGTGGGATTTATTTTGGAGGCTTGTAAAATGAATGTGTGATGTCTGGGAATCAAGAGACCGGTTTTGGTTGTGGTTCCACAGGCAACTGTACACCCATGGCCAACCCCCTGCCTGTAGGGGCCTCAGTGTGTGCATCTGTAACAGCAAGACGAGGGGTTGCTCCCACTGGGGTCAAAGGTCCCTCTGACTTAGCAGTGTCCGTGGCTCACACCCCTTGCCCAGACCCTCCACGTCCTCAGAGAGCTCGCCTACCAGCTGCTTGACACACCCTGCAAACTCTCACCTGTGGCTTTGCTCAGAGAAGGCTGAGGAAAAGACCTGCTGTGAAGAGATGTCCCATGTGATGGTCTCTAAGATGATATGCTAACTAGTAGGAAGCCTGACACAGTCAGTGTTCCATCAGAGCTATTTACTGTCACCATCGCCACCCTCACAATCATTATTATTAAGCTATAAATAAATGTCTCAACTAGAAGATCGAAAGCCCTAAATGGGCCTGATAGGTACATATACCTTAAGCCCTAATACTTAATATCAATTGATGTTAACTAATTACTATTAAGATCTAAGTGTCCATATGTCCTGGCTGTAGCCTAGATTTTCTGCTGGTACCTGACACTAAACACAGGTGGACAGTCTGGGCCAGGCTGAAGACGTTGTGGAGGCCAGAGAGTTAGAGATGCTGCATGAGCCCCCCTAGGAGGCTGTGGTCTCCAGGCCTGTCCCTCACCCCAGCTGTGCTAGACTAGCAAGTGAAATGAGCACCCTGGGGCCCTGCAGAAGTTGGACCCAGCGAGGCCCAGCAGAACGCCAGACCTGGGGAGGACCAGACTTGTGTCCGACACTGCCCCATGAGGCAGGTTTTCTGAGGACCTGAACTCCATGTCCCCAAGACTGGGTCTGTCCCAGCAAAAGCAGGGCAGCAGGTCACCCAAGGCCCTGGGCCACGGGATTCATTACCAACATGGAGTTGCTCCCAGCCCTGTGTGGCCTGCTCCCACCTCCTGGTCTCGCCTCTCCCACCCTCACTGTCGCCCAGTGCCTGGCCTGGCAGCTAGTTCCCTAACTAGGCAAACCTCCCACACACCCTTTGCCCTCGGCTAGGAGAACAGGGGTGGGAGGGGGGGTAAGCCAATACCCGTCCAGAAAAGGATCCCCACTCCTCACCTCCTTCCCCAAGTGCTCCACAGTGACCCTCAAGGCCTGCCAGAATGAGAGCTGGGGCGGGCCGGGGTGGGGGGAACAGATGGCATCGTTAAGCCTGGGCTGTGCGCCATGACCAGAGGAATAAAAATAATCCCTGACTTGGCTCCCAGGGCCTGGTCTAAAGGCCTTCTCTCTGCCCCTGCCCCACCCAAAAGCCCACCCAATTCAAACTCCAGGCTTTATCCTACGGGCCACAGATGCTGCATAGTCAGGAATTTTCAGAATATTCATGAATATAAGAGGCTTTTATACTGATCTTTCTAATAATGAGAACAGTAAATTCCTCAATACCCCTTTCAGGACAGGAAGGAATCATTGTCCCCATGTTATAAATGAAAAAACCAAGGCTTAAGGATGGGAAATAAGTTGCCCTAAAAAACTGACAAAACCAGACCTCAGACCCTTAAGTCCTGTCCTGACTGGTCCAGGGCTGTGTCTTTAAGACACCAACCTCTGGCTCTCAAAGCCCACTTCCTTCACGAAGCCCCACCGAACTGCCTCTAGCCTCTAGGGCCTCCAACATGCAACTCAACACCAGTCAACTTCTGGTCCTGCGGAAGTGACTGCACCTTGCTCACCTGTTTGCCCGACTGGACCGTGAGCTCCTTGAGAATAAGACCAGCTCTCATACATCAGCACCCCCACCACTTCTGCCTCAGTGTTGGGAGTTTAGGTAGCAGAGGTCACCCGTAAGAAACTGATAGTTCCACTGATCCCCATTCTTCAGACAGGGAGAAATCTACCAATTTCCGTTCATTACAATGTCTCAACTCGCTGGGAGTCAACACATACAGGATTATAATCTCCTCCCTGTGCTCTCTGACCCCAAATTGAAAGCAATGGAGACTGAAACTCAGAAACTTTGTAAGACTGGCCTGGTGTCATCCAGAAGGTTAGAAAGAGACAATTAGGAGAGGGCCCAAATCTCCCTCCCTACTATGAAGGTAAAAATGGTTCTCTTTGCCCCTCTTCTCCCTACTCTGATTCCAAGAGCTCTGGGATCTAGGCTAATGGTGCCAGACACACCAGGATTCTCGTATCCGTAGGCTCTGACGCCCTGCCCACCGACACCTCAGCTCTCAGTCTGCCACTCTCTCCAGGGGCCACTGAAAGAACCACCTCCTTCACCCCGATGGCTCCTACAACTGAGAAGCTGCAAGGAAAAAGAAAACTTGGGAGTTTCTTCCAGAAGACCCATCCTAATCTTTGAGATACATTTGTCCCAAAGGCATAAAGACAGAGAAGGCAGGTGTAGTGGCTAGAGTAATTCAGGACGGGGGGCGGGTCCCCTGTGTCTCAACTCCAGACCAGGAATCCTTCTTCAGGGTGGCGGACTTATCAGCAAGGCTTGCTTATCAAGGCCAGGAGTCACATGTCTGAGTCCCAGGTGCCTTGCCCAATCTAACATAGTTGTGGCCACAGAACCTCTGCACCAAATGGAATGTGGATCTTCCCCATCCAACTCATTTCAGAGCAGAGGCAAAAGTTGCTCCTCCCATCATTATCCTGGCTATTCCCACCTGACTAGACTCTGGAGACTGAGCCAAAAGGTGTTGCACATACTGAAGCAGAAGTGCAAACACACTGATTTTTTGGGGGGATGCCTGAGCCTTCACAGCCTTGCCCTCATTTCTTAAATTAGAACAGGAGGGGATATCAGGAACAGGAAACCCCAGCCTTCTTCCAGACTCATCCCAGTCTTCCCCTATCCCCCTGGGTCTCCTCACTACCTTCTAAACCCCGAGTCTAGATGCATTGCTTTCCTGCCTACAGTGAGTCCCTGTACTTATTTAATTCCTGATATCCGCCCACCCATAAACATCTACTGAGGGTGGGGGAACAGGGAGGCACTGGCAAAAAGGTTCAGACTTTCAGGTATGAGATGAGGGAGTTCTGAGGATCTAATGTAAAACATGGTGCTACAGGTGGTAACACTGTATTAGGTAACTGAAATCTGCTAAGAGAGTGGAACTTAAATGTTCTCACCAAAAACAAGAAAATTATAAAAATGTGAGGTGATTGATGTATTAATTAATCAGATAAGGGTAATTCCTTTCATAATGTATGCACATATCAAATTACCAGATGTATACTTTAAGTATCTTATAATTTTGTATGTCAATTATACCTAAATAAAGCTAAAATTTTGCAAAATAACAAGTTTTGGGGGGTACCCATTCCAAGACTAAACTCTGAAGAAACGGGTTCAGTCCCTCGGGGTCTTGACTTTAGCTGGAGGCCGGCAGGCCGGCACAGACAGGCAAACACCTAAGTGCGGGTGTGGGGGGCGGGGGGGGCACGAGAGGCTCCAGTGGGAGCAGGCACCAGGTGCACAGCTCCGCCCAGGCTTATGTCTGCCCAGAAGGGCTCCCTGGCCCAGCCCACAAAGGCCTCAGGAATGGAACACTTGCTTCCTCAACTGCTCAGGCCTCCTCACATGGCTTGTGTGTTCCATTCCAAGTCATTTTCTTACCAACTACAGCCATGGATGTCTGAGGACCCGGGAAAATTTGCATGCCCCGGGTGCCTAGGAGATAGGAGGCTTTGCTGTAACTCTGGGGGCTGGAAAGGGAAGGAGAGGACAGGGGCCTGGGGCCAGAGAGGAGAACCTGTCCTCTAGGCAGAGCCGGTCAGAGCAGGAACCCACCCCCCCACACAGTTCTGCCCTCCCATACATGGCTCCCCTGCACTGGGCAAATGACCCTAAAGGACGGAGTGGTAGCCTAGCAATCACGGAGGGAGGCCCAGCTGTGGAGGAGGTACCCAGGACGCCGAGGAACACAGACAATCTGCTTATCAGAGATGGCTTACCCAATTTCAGCACTAAGGCTGGTAGGTGGCACTTCTGAATGCCCACTCTGTGCCTGGCCCTGATCTAATATCTCCTCTAATCCTCCCAACATCCCTCTGAGGTGGCAGGTACCACCCCATTTCAGGCGGCGGGGCCGGGACTCCCGGGGTGAAGGGCTGTGCGGAGCCCTAAAGCTCTAGGTGGATACACTCAGCTCCTTCCCACAGCAGACGGCCTCTGGCCCACCACAATGCTGCTCTGACCTCCTTACCAACAGTTGAGTGGAGGAAAGGAGAGGAGTGGTCAGAGTCTACAGCCTGAGGGATTTAGGTTAGAGGTGAAGTAACAGGGAGGGGCCCCAGACCCTGACTGAGCAGTGAAGGGGAGCTAGAGGCATTCCTCTTTCGAGGAGTCCAAAGTCTTCCACAGGCCTTTCTCAGCAGACTCCATGTCCCTGAGGCCTCTGCTGAAGGTCCCTGCTGTGAGGTGTGGAATTCCCACGGTTGGTGTGAGTGAGGAAAAACCCCAGAGGAGAAGGCCCTCCAACCAACAGGGGAAGTGCCCTGCCCAAAGGCCCCACACCAGTAGAACCGGGACGAGCACTGACCCTCAGCCCTGCACTTCACTGCGACACAGTTGCAACTGCCATGACCAGTATCCGGGTGCCTCTCGACGAGGAGAGCTGGTTCCTAGGAAGGAGAGGAGCAGGCGACTGACATGTGTGGTTCAACAAGTTCCCAGCCAAAAGATTCCCCTTGGCTTACTTTCATGCCTAACACCTCACCAGGAGCGCCTCAGCCCTCTGAGTTTTTCATTCATTCATTCGCAGTTGCATAATGAGCGCCTCCTATACACTGGGCACTGGATAGCAAGTCACATGGGACATGGCCTGCCCTCAACATCCTTTATTCTAGTGGGCAGCACGGGTCCAGGATTCCCTGTGAAGACATGAGTACAGTCGATCCTTAGTATTCACAGATTGTTCAGAGTCCAGACATGCAAATTCACCTAATCACTGACACCTGTAGCCCCATCGATACTCGCTATGCTCTCCCGGCATCTGCAGACGTGCACACAAGAGTCAAGTTTGGCGGAGCTCAAACAAGTCTGCACTCGGCCTTCTGGTCTCAGCTGCCTGCCATACGGTACACAAGTGTCCTTTTCACAGTCTATCTACTGCCATGGCGTTTGCATTTTTGTGCTTTTTGTTGGTGATGTTATTTTCAATGGTCCCCTAGTGTAGTGCTGAAGTGATGTCTAGTGTCCTAAGTGCAAGCAGGCTGTGATGTGCCTCATGGACCAGACACGTGTGTTGGACGCGTGTGTTCGTCCTGGCCTGAGTCATACTGCTGCTGGTCGTCAGCTCTGTGGTAATGAACCAAAATATATATTAAATAAAATATCTTTGAACAGAGAGAGACATGTTAAAAGGCACCAAGATAGCCAAAAAGTGGAAGCCACCCAAACACCCATCAACAAATAAATGGGCAAGCAAAATGTGGGATACCCATACAATGGACTATTATTCACCCTAAAAAAGGAAGGAAATTCGGACACATGCTACAACATGGATGAACCTTGAAAACATTATGCTATGTGAAATAAACCAGACACAAAATAATAAATATTGTATGATTCCATTTATATTCCATTTATATTAAATTCATAGAGACAGGAGGTAAAAACACAGGTCACCAAGGGCTGGAGGAAGACAGAACAGGGAGGCACTGTATGATGCATGCAGAATCTCCATTTGGGATGATGAAAAGTTCCAAAGACAAATGGTGATGGTAGCACAACGCTGTCAATGTACTTAACGAAGCTAAACAGGACACTTAAAAATGGGCCCTGGCTGGTGTGGCTCAGGGGACTCAGTGCCAGCCTGTGAACCAAAGGGTCACTGGTTTGATTCCCAGTCAGGGCACATGCCTGGGTTGCGGGCCAGGTCCCCAGGGGGCACATGAGAGGCAACCCTCTCTTTCTCCTTCCCTTCTCCTCTAAAAATAAATAAACAAACAACTAAATAAATAAATGAAATCTTTTTAAAAAAATAGTTAAAATGGTAAATTTTATGTTATGTATATTGCACCACAATATTTTAAAAATAGTACCAAGAGACAGAAAGGAACAGACGTGGGCAGAGAAGGAGAAAAGGAGGCAACAGAGTCCCCCTGGGCTAAACATACAGGAGACAAAGGAAAATGGCATTCACAGGAGTGCAAAGAGACAAGACAGGAGCGTTCCCAGGCCAGAGGCAGGCAAGTCCAGAGGACAAAGGAAGGAGAGGGAATGGAGGAGAAGAAAACAGTGCAGCAGAGAAATGGGCTGGGCCACATACTCAGCTGGACACAACTGACCCCAGTGTGACTTCAGAAGGCTGGCCAGGCCCTGCTCGAGGCCGTAAAAGGGCCATTCTCGAAAACTCCTAAAGCCACACCAGCCTGGGTGTCACAATGCCTGAAGTGCCACCGCCAGAGCACCCTTCCTCCACTGTAAGTCAAGCCTCTTCCTCCCCTAACAGCCTAGGGCTTTGCGGGAAGCTGGGCAGGAGTCTGCTCCACAGAAAGGAACGTTCAAGAGTAGTAGGGCTTGAGTTAAAATCTGCCTCTTCCCAGCAACTTATCTAACCTCCCTAGTGCTTCTGTCTCCTCTTTGCCCAAGGAGGGAGGAAAAGACATGCCACAGGGAGAGACGAAGGGTCACGTGAAGCATTACAGGTGAAGAACCTGGAACACACCATCCGCTACCCCTCACTAACCTCTTGCTGTGAGAATGTTTGTCACATCTTACTTCTTGACAGGATAGGAATGGGAAGAGGGTGACAGAAAAGGCAAAAAGAAGACCTCACAACCCTCCTAGTATAAGATGTGCTGGAACCACAGTCACAGAGAGCAGACCCCATTGGGCCTGGCCTGTACAGGGGAGGGGCTGCGGGGCAGAGTCAGGCCCTGGGCTCAGATCCTGGCTGGGCCTCATGCTGCTTATGCTGGCCCAATACCTAATATCCCTGTGCAAGCTGCTTGACTCTCTGAGCCTGTGTTCTCCCCAGTATATTCCAGAGGTAATAATGTTATCCCCTCGTGGGGCTGTCTTGAGGATTAAGTTCAATCACATCCAAAAGTATGGGCACAGAGGCTGGCTCTCGGAAGGGCTCCTCAAACATCTGTGGTTGTTGGAGGGATGACAGAGAGGGCACGAACCAGAGAGAAGTGGTGCTATCTGGGAAGAAGTAGAGAGGAGAGCAGCAAAAGGAATGAGGGGCAACAAGAGGAGAGATAAGTAAACAGGTGGGGAGGGAAGCAGGCCAATGGGAGGTATCTCAACAGGGAGGGGCCATGGTGATGAAAAGGAGATAAGATTCCTGAATGGCTACAGGCCCTAAGCCCTTTCGGAAGCAGAGTCTCCACCATTCCCCACCCCCACACCCTCAGGGGTCAGCATCCAAACCCCTCCGCTCTCCAAAAGCTGGGACCTGGGACACTGCCCCCAGTCACCTCTTCTAGGCATCCAGGGATGTGGGTGTCTGTGGGCCCAGCCCTAACCATCCAGGAAGTGGGTCACAGCAAGTGTGTGTCCCGGACCTCCACTCCCACCCCACCCTGCATCCTGCCCTGGAGCCACTGAAGGGGCTGAGGAAACTGATGAAACTGGCTTTGGGCCCCAACACAGGCTCTGGGAACAGAGGCAACTTAGGCTCCAAGCTCAGCCTTGCTGCACATTCCCGGTGCCTCAGGAGCCCGTCACTTGCCCTCTCTGCATCTCAGCAGCAACACTTACAAAGAGAAATGGCAGGGGAAGTAGACTATCATTCAGCGACAGTAAGAAGTGAGCTATCAAGCCGTGAAAAGACCTGGAACAATCTTAGAGGTGCATGGCTAGGTGAAAACCAGTCTGAAAAGGGCACACACTCCATGACTCCAGCTATATGACATTCTGAAAAAATCAAAGTGCAGACACAGGAAAAAGAGGAAAAGGAGGGATGAACAGATGGAGCCCTGGGGCTCTGCGGGCAGGCACAGGGCCTGTGTGGTGCTGCGACGGTGGGTGCGTGCCGCCCCACCTCTGTCCACACCCGCAGAACGAGCAGCATGAAGAGTGAGCCCAGAGGAAAACTATGGACTGCAGTGCAAGGTGTCAATAAAAGAAGAAAGTGGGGGAGAAGGGAAGGAACTCTCTACACTTTCTTCTTAGTTCTTCTGTGAACCCAAAACTGTTCAAACACATAAATAAAGGCTATTAAATAAAAAAAAGTGGGCAGAAGAAGTCTTGACTGTTTTTTCTCCTCAGAACCTTTCTTCAGGATTCTAAAACAAAGCAGAACTTAGGAAAGCACTTCACTTTAAGTAGGCCTGTCCTATGAAAACTCAGATCTGAAAACAGGTAACTGAGGCTGAGCCTACCAGGATTCACCCTCGCATCCTGTCAAAGGGCAGTTCCATAGGAATGAACAGACCCTGAGCTGATATGTGCAGTGCGCTGCTCACTGAACGCTCGTCTTCCCAGCCATGGGGTGGATTTGCCCCATCAGCTGCTCGCCCAAAGACAGATAAGACCATGCCAGGGCCACAGGGGGCACCCACTTGGCACACCTGCAGCACAAGGCACTCAAGGAGGGGGCTTTCGGCGTTGGGGAGCAGCCCTCCAGTGCCCAGAGCACCAGGGAGCCTAGGGAGCCAAGGGCTCTGGGGCAGCCAGCTTTAGCAGCTCCAGGAAAGCAGGACTTCCCCTTCAGCTCTGCCCCACTGTCCACCTCTAGGCCTTAGTCATCTGTGGAAAAGCCCTGCCACAGCTCCCAGGACACAGGAGGAGGACACGCTGGACTGAGCACGAACAAGGGGCAGGAGGCAGCACCCATGCCACCCCGGGATATTTTTCACAGAAATGTTCTTCTATATCAGAGCCACCTTGCCTAGACAGACACAGAAACAGGGATCAAGATGCTCTAGAAAGTCCAGTGGCCCAAAGCCTTCAGACCCTTGGCTGAGGTCACCATCAGAGAGGACCCACCCTGACCCAGAAAATACACCCCACTGATTCTCTCTTGCACCAGCCACACTCCTACCCAGTAGCTTACCCTTGCAGGCCTGACAATTGCCCCACCTCCCATTCCAGAATGCGTGGTCACCCACTTTGGAAACAAGGCCATGTAAGTGGTTGATACCCAGGCTGGGGACAAGCATTTACTGTCCTGGATGGGACCAGCCCAGCCTGATGCAGCCAGCCATGTGGATGGAATAGAGCAGGCACAGCTGGCCAGTCAGGGAGGTGCCCAGCAAACCAAACCACCACCAGTGCCTCCTATGCTTAAGTGTGCTCTACGGCAGGTGCTAAGCCAGGAGCAGACTTCACGGAAAGCCCTGTTCCTTCCTATCTTGTTCATATGCCATTCTCTAGGTGTTGCCCTGTCCAGCCCCCACCTCACCCCAGCCTCACTTCACCCTTGAAGAAAGGCCAAGGCTCGGAACAATAAACTCTTAACCTCGCTTTCAGAGTCCCTCACACCCATCACCTTCTTGTGGAGATTTTCTCCCCTAAATGAGTTTTCTCCAAAAACTTGTAAAAAAATTCTGTAAATCACATATCTGCTTGCATGCAAAATATTAAAGAACTCTCAAAATAAAACAATCAAAAGAAAGCACAGGCAATAGATTTGGACTGACACTTTACCAAAGATGTTATACGAATGGCCAGCAAACACACAAAGGATGTTCGACATCATCAGTCAGTAAGAAAATGCAAATTAAAGCCACCGTAGGACTCCGCTCCATGCCTACTAGAATGGCAGTAACAAAAAGAAGCCTGACATGCCCAGTGCTGCTAAAGGTACAGAGCAAAGGGGCTCTCATGCTTTGCTGGTAGGAACGCAAAGTGGTGTACCTTGGAAACAGTTTGGTGGTTTCTTAGGACATTAAACACACACATGCTATATGGTCCCTAT